TGAGGGTGCTGCTCTCTGCAGAACACTTGTGGTTCTGGGAAGAGACTGAAGCGAGGCATTGAAGCAAGAGGGGAAAAAGTACAGAGGATGGGACAGAAAGCTTCTTCAAACCCCTTCCCACCCCTGAGAGGGAACACAAATATTTCTGCTTCTTTCCTCCCAGCCCACACACGTGGAGCAGGTCAAACTGCATGTTTAAATTTCAGAAGCTGCTGAGTGACTTCCATCTGTGCTACAAACTCTTCTACCTCTGGGTGGGAGATGGCACATCAGTGTTGCACCAACTACTGCTGACTTAAATGTTAAGTGCGGCAGACAGTTGGACGGTGGGATAGGATGCACTTCGGCCACCTCAGCAGAGGTATGTAGAGGCTGATGACTCTTTTTCCTCAGGCCTGAAGTGCTGGTGGTTCCTCAGGTTGGAGCAGAATGCCTGCACCTTTCTGTCCCCATGAAGAGGCCCTCCTAATCCTGGTAAACATCCACACACCAGCCAGGAATGCAGGAGTTTCCATCAGCAGGCACATGTCTGCTTTTGGATGAGTTGGATTTCTTCAGTGCCTGGCACATTTACAATAATATTAGCTTGATACCCAAACATAGACTTTGCGAACAGAAAAACATTGTTTACTTGAAGAGTGCCAAGAAGCAGCATTTTTTCATGCCCCAACAGCTCCTGATGTTTTCTATTTCTTTTTAACTTATTACCGCAGGAAAAAAATTCCTAACCTCTTATTTGTCTTTTTGACTGAAGCTCAGAACAGCTCTGACATTTGCACAGATCTACAGTAAGTCCAAATTCTCTTTTCTGGTCATTTACAGCTTATAATGGTTTACATATTTTTTTTCCTTTGTATAAAATTCTTTATCACTTTTTTGTGTCTGGTCAGTCTGTTTGAAAAGATCCTTCTGAAACCCTCAGTAATCTGTCTGTCTTGAATAGTTTGTGCTCCACAATTGCAGGTGGAACTTGTTCATACAAGTACATTTCTCTTAGGTGAGGCAACTGATAACAAACCTATCCTTGCCTTTCCAGTTTCTTTAAAGCAAAGATTCACTTGCTATGTTCAGTGACTACCTTATATATTGCCCTCTAAAAGTCTTTATAAAGATACCTATAACTGTGACTTCTTTCATGCATTAAATGATATAAATAGCCATAACTCATCTAACTAATCTTAGCCTCTGGAAGCCAGTGGAAATTTTTCTATCGATTAGAGTCAGCTTGGGTCAAGCCCTACACAGTGTTTTCTGATCTCTTGCCCTACTTTTTCTCCATTTCTATTTCATGTATATATCTAACTCTTTCAATTGTTGCACATTTTTCTCTCTGTTGAAGAGGAATCCTGACAAGGAGGTCCCAGAGGTCTTTAGCTTGTCATCACATCCCTTCATAGGCTGAATGTGTGCAGAATGCTTGAGGAAGAAACAAAAGCTAAATATAGAATAATTTAAAGCCTACCCATTAAGGGCATGCCTACATGACACAAATGCAACCAGCTTAGGTACAGGGAGTGGTGTAGTCACTGAGCTAAGTATAACCGAAACAGAGGATGTGGCTCACAAGCCATCCCCTTGCACTCACATCCTGTCTCTCGGTATCAAAGCCTTGGAGGAAGATATAAAAGCTCATAATAGACAGTTATATACTAACTTGCCCATAGGGTAACTCTCTTCCTGCTTCTCTTCAGCAGTCAGTTTATGGCCTGAAGCACATAACACTGCCACTTTTTTCTCTTATCTGGTGTTATTGCAAGTGTGCTTTTTATTCACATATATTGGTAATACAATTGGTTGCCTAGGCTGGTCAAAATGATGGGAAATAATCTCATGCAATAGTGATGTATTACAACTAGCTTCAGCTGCCCCTGCAGATTTTAATGGAAGGTGATGACTTGGACCTTTAGTCCAGAAAGACAAAGCATTAATTCTACATTAATTAAGCCTATCTTATATGACAGTAATATCACTGCCTACCTTTTCCTTTCTGTGCTGTATGTTACTTAATCTGTCAGTATGTCGCCTATTTATCCTGAAATAAAATCATCAGCTGATGAAACAAAGATGAGAATATATACTGCTTGATTAGGCCAAACGTGATTTTTATAGAGAAGCAGAATGGATAGTGCAAAGGATGTACAAAGACCTACCCTTTACTTTTGCTAAAACACTGAGAGTCTTAAAACATGCGACTTAGCTACAGGTGATTTCTGACACATTGTCCTGTCATGGAGAAGGCATCAGCAGTGTTGTATTGAAGGCACAGCCAGCAGACAACTGCTGCCTTATGTTCTGACAGCTGACAGTCCCTTTTCCCCAACATCCCAACCTCTCCAGAGATAACTGCATTTCTCCCTCTGGTGTCTTCTGTAATAAATATCCTTCTAAGACTGGATTTTTGGATTTTCCTCTGCCTTTTTAAAATTCTTATCGTAGTGTCCTGCAGAGCACCTTATTTGAAAGCACCAATGCTCTCTAGGAAGTTAGCTAAGCTGCAGGCTGCCAGCAATCATGCTAGCGCTGTGTGACATGGTGCAGGCCAGGACATCCCTGGTGTGGTGTCATTGCTGTCACCAGATCAAAACCATTGCTTCAGAAGTCATGTGGCTCAGACCAACCATTTCCCTTCTGAACCCTCCAGGCCACCAAAACATAACCCAGCTTGCTTTTTCTCTTAATAAGCTATGTTAATTCTTGGGGGAATATAGTGCAACGCAAACACAAAGCTCATCCTGGGCAGAGCAGAGATGCAAATTATGCCTTCTCCTTGTTTTGGGAAAACTCTGCAGGTTGTATGGAGGGGACACACAGTCAGAAATGACAGCCCCAGCTCTTGCAAGGTTTTGTGTGTCACCCTTGCTTCTCTCCTCTGCAGCAGCACAAGCTTACTGCAATTACTGGTGTAATTTACAAGGAACATTCCAGAGTAAACTCAGCTCAGTCCTGAAGAAAGGCAAATACTACTTGCACCTGGACCCTTAAAGCACAAGTTTTTAGAAAATGAACAGCTTTAATTACAGGTGCCATTGGTCCCTGTGCATTGGCCCAGGGAGTGAGAACTGCCTTTACACATACAGGCAAAACAAAGGCAACTATAGTGAAATCTGAACAAATTCTCTGGGGGATAAACCAAAACAAATTTTGATCCCAAGAATTATTACCTGTAACTAACCAAAGGATAGCTGGCAGTTCAAGGGTCAAGGCAGCTTCAGACTCTATACAGTACAGTGGTTTTTTCCCTATCATTGTCTCACCCTGGCTAACTTGGAGGCCCAAAGATGACTTAAGGCCTAATGCTTCAAGGTGCTGAGTTGAATCAAGAGATGACACACGGGACACTGTATAGCATCTTGTGTGCTGCTGGATTAGGCTCAACTGGTCAAATTCTTGTTTTGAAAAGCTAGTTTCTGTGTTCTGCTAAGAGCCTGAACAGTTAAAGTTATTAACTGGCTTCTGAATAAAATGCATTTGGAATAAATATGCTTTAGGATAAACCTATTAAATGGATAAAAATGCCATTACCAGGGGTGAAATATGATTGTGTGACCTTTTAAATAAATAAGCCTGCTATGCACCAAATTATGTCAGATAATAAGCTTTATACATGATAAAGTCATGCACTAGGTTTCAGTCTTCAGGCATTCAATGAAATATCGCTAGCCATAAAGGGCTCCTGAAATGTTACACTAAAGAAAATTGCTTCCAGCTATAAAAACTTAACGGTTAAAACAAATGGAGTTTCTCTCATAAAATCCTATGCAAGGCATTAGTAGCAAGAGTGAAAGCTTACTAGAAACAAACCTGAGGTATTCAAACTATTTTGCAAGTACACAATGCTTCTTAAAATAATTCAGATTCCAGATAAATCTGGAATAACTCTATTGAAAGCAGAAGGGTGTAATCCTGAAACACCAGTGTGAGATCCAAATTATGTTTATATGGCCTTAGAAATACCTTGGTGGGATATCTCTGGATACAAACTTTGCTGTATATCCAAACTAATCTGCACTTTGGCACTTGTACAAGCAGTAGAAATACTGACCTCTGTGGCTGTCCCGAATCTTGGGTCTGACTGTGTTATGCCTCAGCGACTTGCCCAGATTACTTCTGACACAATTATATTCCTATTAAGAGGCCATTCATATTTGATGTGATGGAAACAGAGCTGGATATTATCAACCTCGTGAATAAAGACGGATGTGCATTTAGTCAGATTCAGCTACCAGCTTCACATGTGGCAAAACTGGCTCTCTCTACATTAAGTCAGAGTAAGAACTTTCTGCTTTAAACCATTACAAACAAGAAGGAAGGAAGCCAATTCTCTCATTCCTTCTAGTGATCCTGGGCAAACCAACAAAACCTCCTGGTGAGCCTCTTACAGTTTTAATAAAATCATCATGGTCACTTCATCTCTTGTTACGTGAACATCAGCAAATAAATGCAATTCCCATCTAGGGTCTTGTGCTGGTTTTGGCTGGGGTAGAGTTAATTAATCTCAAACACAGTTCCAAGGACTAAAAATACTCTTGGAATTCCCTGACAAAATCAATTATCTTCTGCAAAAGTTGATATCAGACAGTAACAAAAAGGATCATTCCTGTTTCTTCTGGGGTTTTGATTTTGGGGTTTTGTTTTGTTTGGGTTTTTTTGTTTGTTTGTTTGTTTGTTTTGTTTTGGGGTTTTTTTGCGTTGGTTGATTGGTTGGTTTTTGTTCATTTTTGTTTCATGGAGGTTTTTTGTGTGTGGTTGTTTGTTATTTTTTTCCCTGAACTGGGACAGTGCAGGCTAGAAAGGATCTTCTTAACCTTCACCTACATACACCAGCAATTTTTACCAAAGCTCAATCCAGTACAATCTTTTCCAGGAGGGGCATGTAAAGAGACATGGTGAAATTCAAGCACTCAGAATAAGCCAGCCTTGCTCCAGCTCCCAAAAAGATCACTCTCTGAACCTTAGCAAAGAAACAGGTATATTCTCCACATCTAGTTTTAGTGCCTCTGCTAAATAGATTGAGGTACACCATGCCAAGCACAACTTAAACAGGACCACTGCAAAGGAGTGGGTGGCATTATGAGGCTAATAGTGAAATGTTATTATCTTTTCCTGAACAACTGCAGTGCAATGCCTAGAAACAAATAATAGATCTGTTCCAGGCAGGAGCTCAGCTGGATCCTGAAGATGTCTCCAGGCACTTGCCATTTTGTTTTACTGCTCTTCCTCAAAACTGGTCAATTGTAAGCATCAGTCTTGCAGAGAAGACATGTTATCAGGGGTGAAGGATAACTGCTTGTTATATAATCCTGCCAAATCCTTGATACAGCAGTTCTCAGCAAACAACCATCTTGCTGTGAGTCATCTGGAAAGTCTCTGGTTCAGTGAGCTTCCAGGAGCAGAGCATCAAAACAGGTTGTATTTCCACTTCCCATTTCAAATTACAGGAGGCACCCATTAGTCAAAGCAATAATTTTCTCTTTATCTACCTTCAGATGCCATCCTGCATAAGGATCCAGCCTGTGCACCTGCCAAACCAGAAGCCCTGTGGGAGATCCCAGCTAGTACTGGATGTCACAGCTTGCAGCTGTCCTGGGTGGCTGCTGGCACGAGGGCAACCACAGCATGAGGAAATCCTTACCCTGCCCTTCAGAGAACTGGAGATGCTGCACGTGGTGTTGGGCATGCTCTGTGCTCACCAGCCTTTCTCCAAACACCCGTCGCTGGTCCCTGTCAAAAGCGGACACCATGCCCCTTAGACCTCTGGGCTGGCCCTGCATGACCATTTGCATGTTGGGAGGCCAGGAGCTGTCAAACGCCGTATCCCTGCTCTTGTCACCAGAGCCAGTGGCTTCATTAGCTCACACTTTTTTCTTTTTTTTATTTCCCTTTGAGGCAATGCCAAGTCTTAATCTGATGCAAGGTCACAGATCCCAGCAGGACACATTACACTGGGTCTTTGAATTAGGAAGTCTCCCACCTCAGAGCTGGCCAGCTCAGGACCTACTGCTCTCCCACCTCTGCTCCTCCCCACTGTGCTTGACAGAAAGTTGGAATCGGCTTTTGTGACAAGAGTGTTGGCAACTTTGTGTTGGCACACAAAACTGAGCAGCTCATTTTTTACAAACCTAAACAACTACAACTTTGGCAATCTCACTCCTATTGAACAACAATGACAAGAAGAACCAAGTCAGCAGCAAGCAGTAGCCTGTTACACAGGGCTGTATATAAAGCCAGAAGAAATGAGATGGGTCAGCTTGTGTTGGCTGGTAGATGGTGAAAGAGCTGGTCTAGGATTACCACTTCAGGCTGGGCCAAAGTGGAGAAAGATGGAACATAGTTGCTTTCCTGGTGCTCTGTCTCACTCCTCTGCGTAGGACAAAATTGCTTCAGCCTTTAATGCTATTACAAAGCATTATTATAATATATATAAAATATATATATTTAATATATATAATATATATTTTATATATATATTACAAAGTTCTTATGAAAGTAACATACAATTCAATATATCAAACTGTAATGCAATTAATATGATTTTAGGACAATTTGCAAAAACTGCAAAAACCATCAAGTTTCAGTTCTGTAGTTCATTTCCACACAGTCATATTTTGGCTAAAATAATTATTCATGCTTAAAACAAATATCTTCTTTTCTTATTTTAAAATTATTTTTTCTTATAATAGATTAAAATTTCAGAACGCTTGTTTGTTAGAAAGGGATTTCGAAGTTTTCGGTTCTAAATAGATAGAGCCATCACTAGAGAAAATAGAATTCATGTATGCCATATGTTTTACACAGTTTTATAATTCTCGTATTTTTTATTAAACTAGCCAATGAAAATAATAACTATATTTGAGTTTTTCATTTAGCCTCAGGAGTCAGAACACTGATTCAGTTGTTCACAATGTTCCTTTCTTTTTTCCTTCTTGGCAACATAAATCATAAATCTAAGAATTGGGGTTTCAGTGTAACTTATAGTAATCAACTTATTTTGTGTTTCCCATTGATATGGTATAACTAATGCTTTAAAATTGCAGTTTGGGACAGCAATCACCTTCCCAGTACAGATCATTGGAGTTACCATGAAAAACTTAGTATCTTACTATCAGCTCATACAGGTTTTTAGTCTCTCCCTCTTAAGCATAGACAACCAGGCATCTATCAGAAATAAAACTACCTCAATTAAGTTTGGGGACTAGATTCTGCAGATTCAACAGAACCCATTGAATCAAGTATTTTCTATAAACCTATTTAAAAAAAAAATCAAGAATGTTCCTTCCACTTCCACCTTTTTCTGTAAAAAAGATCTTAAGCAGATGTTCTCCATCATCACCTGCAACAGTAAATTGCAAAGTGAAGATAATACAAAATTTTCTGTTTTGCTTAAAAAGTTTACTATGACTTTCTTTAACCGTGCATTGACAAAACCGCTTTCCAAATAGTCAAAAAAGACAAAGCAACTTTATAAAACATCATTTTTTTTATATGACTGTGAAAGAACTGAAAATGCAAAGCTCAAAACAAATTATTTATAAAGGTTGCATAACTTGCTATCTAAACTCATCTCCTAATCATGAAACCCATGAGAGAGGCAGGTGGATTGTAACAGCAGATGAGTTGAAGGGCCGTGATTCTCATACAAGGAAAGGGTTCAAATAATTGCTTGTTAGTCACAGAAAAACAATGCTGGAAGAAAACTATGAATAAATGAATGAGTGAACACTGGACTAATGAGCTACTTCCTCTGCTTGGCGTATGAGCTCTCTGGGGATGACGACTCATTTAGTTACACGTGTGAACACGATGCAGAGTTAACAAGGTCTTGGTTTCTGCCTGCTGCTCTGACTGCTGACACACAGTCTGCTGACGAGGCCTGGGAGACGGCATTGGACGCAGTGCCTTTCACAGCACCAAATGGGAACCATCCTCCTGCTTTGGGTCTGGTGAAGTGCAGCTGCTATCTGGGTTGGGGTAGCAGATTGACTCCAGAGACAGAGGCATGTGGAGCTAGTTCTGTGCTGAGGACCTTTGGGTGCCGCCAGGTTTATACTGCGGAGACTGCACCACACAGACCTGGCTGGCGAACCCTGCATGACACTGGCCATCTGTAGCCTCCTCTACAGCACCAGGCAGCACCAGAGTGCTAACAAGCCCCACTGAAAGCCACTTTACTTGTCCTTTTCTTTGTTCTCCTGCTTTTCTTTCCCTACTCTCCCTTCAATGTGCCTCTCTTTTCTTGTGTTTCCAAGGGAACTCCTCAGCTTGCACATGGACAGCCAGCTTGGGTTCAGAGGCATTCCTCCACTGCTCTTTGCAAGAAGATAGACTGCAAAACCCCTATGGAGTCAGCCAGGGCCCAGCGTATTAACTAGTAAATGTTCTTCTAAAGCCTGACACCAGGAAGGCAATGCAGGGAGCAGGCTTGGAAGGGGGCTACCTGCCATCTGAAAGAGCAATCTCAGCCAGCATTGATCTTATCAGAGCCAGGCTTAATTTAATCACTCATCTGCTCCCACTGAGCTCCCTGATCTTCAGGATACCCCAGGTCTCCATTTCCCTGAATGATGACAGTATTCAATGAGATTAAATGTCATCTTCATTACATAAGAGCCTTTAATTATATCATTGAACATCATTTGATACTGAAGAAAAGCATGCTTTCTTAAATTTCAGGCAGTGACAAGGGGCCCAGAAAAACTGGGTTCCAGCCCTGGCTTTGCCAGGGGCCTCTTCTGGCACACTTGGTAAGAGCAGGATAGCCACTGAATTAAAGATTGTGTAAGCAGTGCAGCTCAGACACTTCCTAACTGTAGGGAATGAGACTTTGCAACCTAAACATTCTGTGTATAATTATTAAATTGAAGCTGATTCAGAACCTTGACACATGAACGACCCTCAAGCTCTCCATCCTTTCATACAGCTTTACATTTCAAGCAATTACTTAAAAAGCATTGGATCAAAAAGCTGGTGCTTGCTCAAAGCCTCAGAAAAGAGTGTTCAACTGAAATCCAAATTGCTTTTTTTCTGGCTGATGCTGTGTTTCCATCACTCTGGATATTTTGGCTTGATACTCTCAGTAGACCTGTGTGTGCTACAAAAAAGATGTTCAGGGCAAAAATTACAATGTTTTTCTCATCTTGGAGAGTGAGTAGATAATAGAGTAGGAATCGGGCTCTATTTTTAGAGTCTAGCTTTTTAATTCATTAGCTGTCTGGAAGTCTTCACAGGCAGTCACTTTTCTCTATTGGGTCAAGGCTGGTGAACAACTGCTGCATTACAAGGACAGAGATAAGTGAGAAAGTAGAGCTATAACTCTTCTCCATCACTAATTACTTCATTCTAAGACCCACACAAAATCACCAGCAAAATCCCATGACCTTCTGCTGCAAGGAAGGAGCCAACTGCCTCCATCAGCATCTGTGCCTTCTGCAGGCAGCAGGCCCGTGTCCCTCGCCCAGCAGCATGCAGCTGCCTCGCAGAGACAATGCAAGGAAACAATTACACTCCCTGTTGATTAGTGAGTCCCTACTTTTCAACATAGCTAGTGTTGCCAAGTAATGAGCACTTCTTTTAGCTATGTGGAAGGGAGTTTACTACTTGCTTATTTAAAGAACACACTAAATCACACAATGTTTTTACACATTCCACTCTTCAGGGGGACAGAAATAGTGCCCTTGCCTGGCCCTCACCTTGCACCAAAAACTAAGAGATTAGCTAATCTGGGCAGCTGACACAAAAGCGAAATCTAGCCTAATAAAAGCTTACAGTCAACTATTTTCAACAGCACTTAATACCAGGCTGGTACTGTACAGCCCCATTTCTCTGCAGTTTAACTGTGGTATTAATTTTGTCTTGCCTAGAAACCAGACAGCTCTTTTAATTACATCCAAAACATGCCTGTTCGGACTGAGAAATAATCAGTGCTGCAAGCAGAGCCAAGTAAATGGCTTGGAAACAGATTATTGGATTCCTCCATGTCTTAACAGATATCACTAGTAAAATTCCTGATGTTTCCTCCTCCCTTCCCCTGCCCTCTTTCAGCTTAGTGTCCCTGATTCAGGCAGACCCTTGGTGGGGTCAACTCAAGTTACAGCCTCTCACTAGGACTCCTGTCTCAGAGGACTGCTTTCCACCACAATCTTATGAAACACAGACTACTTGCAATTTGTTGAACTTTCATGACAGGTTCAAAATTCAAGTAGGAAAGATGGAGATCACATAACCTCTCTCTAACCCGGATTTCCCAAGCCAACAACCCACCTCCCCCCACAAGTTTTTCCTCAATGTTTTGCCTTTTTTAAATACATATTTTAGTAAAAGATAATTAGCCTTTCTGCTTCACGTGAATACTGCAATGTCCCTTCAAACCCAAAGCACTGTTCAACAGAGCATAAGACATATCAGTGTGAAAAGACGCTAAGGCAATCTGACTTCTCAAATACCTGGAATAAGCCATCCATACTCAGAGCATCCCTTGAAGTCACTACTATCCGTTTCAAATTCCTTCGCTAGTCTGACAGATACCATGCCCTCTTAGGTACACTTTCATTAGCAGTTTTCAATGAACTTCAAAGGGGACAGTATTTCTCCCCTTATTTTAAAGTTCAAGTCTCACTGAAGACACCTACCCCATGCTGTAAGTTTTGAAAGCTGGCAAAGGATGCAGCATCAGTGCTGACTGCCCTGTCACCTGCTATTACCTTCCCCCATCAATGAATGGCAAGGGTCCTAAACAGTTGAACAACACCCAGTACAGCACCACCAGTCTTGAAGCTGTTGCCTTATTAAAAAAAAAAAAATCATAGAACAGTTTGGGCTGGAAGGGACCTTAAAGATCATGGGCAGAGACACCTTCCAATAGACGAGGCTGATCAAACAGACAATAGAAGTCCCAAAGGAACGGACATGCTGGCTATACTGGCACCACCTTAAGCCCTTAAACACACAAACCAGAAAGATCAGCCCCCTCTCTGCAATAACCCCCTCCATGCTCAGGGGGAGACTTCATTCACTGAATGTGCTCTGAGGAACTTCCACTACCTGTCCAACACCACAACAGGAGCTCCTCTCAAGAAAACTAGTGCTTCTTCACAGGAAAAGTAAAAAAGATCTCCCTTCCCTACAGCAGACAGCACGTTTTAACAGAAGATTCCTTTTGAATTTTTTCTTGTTTGGGCCAAACAAACACATCATGAAAGAATTGCTGCCTTGAGCTGTTCTCCGTGGCTTGAAGAACACACTGCCAAAACATCTC